TTATTAAAAATTTCAGATAACAAGAAGGAAATTTATGATTTAATACATAATTACAAAATCTACTTGACTGCATATATAAAATACAAAGTACGAGTTAAAACTTAGATATATCCTAACATAAAATATATAAAAAAGATTGAACAACATTATGTATAAAATAACACAAGAATTTTGAATAAGATTATGATTATTTGTCTAAGATTGAATCGATATTAATACTATACACCATTATGAATTAGGTTAAAAAATAGATTTAATAGTTATAAAGATATAGAATACATGCTTTATATTTATTTAATAACATTTATCTATTTAATAATATATATTTCAAAATTTTGTACTTTGGTTTTTTGTCATTTAATGTAAAATATTAATTTCTTAGATAATATTTTATTTATCTAGGCTTCTAAGAAAGATATGTTAAACTATACAAATATATAAAAATTATAAGATAATAATCTAAAAAAATAAATACTTAGGATAAAATAATGGAAAACAAAATCAAATGGTATTTAATATATCATATAAACACATAGTTTAAACAACAAGTAAATACTTATTCTTTTTTACTTTTAAAATGGAACTGTAAATATATAATAATGATTAAAATTCACTTTTATATTAATCTAAAAAAAGTGGATTGAAATCTATAATTGACACAAAATAAAATAAAAATGAATAATACTTTATATTATAATATCATATGTGGATTTCTATACATTTTATATAAATGTTGTATGGAATTTTTAACAAATGAACAATTAGAAAAATCAATTCAAACCCCAAATTAGGAGACATTGATTTTTGAACTATCAAATGCAATTGAATCATTTTATCCCCATCAATCCCTTTCCCTAAAAAAAGAAAATTTGAAATATGTATGTAACTAAATATAGTTCTATATATATATATATATATATATATATATATATATATATATATGAAAAATGATAATGAAAATGGCAATTTTGATTTTATATGGTTGCTAAGATTTGAGTCCAAAGAGGGTAACTTAAATTACTTGTGGCAATGAATCTAGGACCACAAGATTACTAAATAATGTAAATGTGCTCATAATACAAGTAATAAGAACCCTAATATTTCTACTATTTAATTTTTTCTTCTTATGCTAAAAATGGTAGGTTACCTACTTCTATTTTTTTTTTTCTAGCCAAGCAAAATTATTACTTGAATCTTCACACACTTTCCCCCCTCACATAACATTTTAAAATAATGCTATATATAAAAAATTCAGATGACAATATAATATATAACCCATATAAGTTGAATCACTTGATTTTTTTTTCTTTTTACATTTACATCAATTTATAAAAAAATAAAATAAAAAATAATAATCTTCTTGTCATAATATTAAATTAATTTTTTAAATTTAAATTTACATATAGTAAAAATTTTTCTCACTTATATTTATACAAAATGAAAAATAATACTGTTATAAATACTGAGAGATTAAACTGTTGGTAGTAAGTAAATATTAACTTATAAATTAAATTTATAGTGGTAACTAAAAATTTTTCGTAATTTTTTTAACTTAAATAGAGATATAACTTTAACACATCAGTTACAGTAATTTATTATTAATATATAAAATAATTTTAAAAATATTATTATCATAAAAAATATAATATTACTTAATCTAAAATTTTTTAGTAGATATATTTTTTTTTTATCATGTGGAAAAAAATTTATCACATTAATTGCTAATTTCCACATTTTAATTTGTTTAAAGAGAAAATAAAACAATTTGAAAAAATTATTGAGTGTTTGTTGGGCAATTGGGAAAGTTTTCAAACCCAATGGAAACAGAATATCCTATGATGTGGAGCACCATCATGTTGTGGACCAGCATCATTCCAACTCTAAATTGTGGGGCTAACACAAAGATGATGCATGCATGACCAATCCACTTGGATATACAACTTGTATGATCTCATGCCACGTAAGCACCCAAACAGACGGGACCCACTTAAGTATACACGTGTCGGCCATGCAATGGCGGTGATCTAATGCTCCATAACGACACATCATGAAAACGTTGAGCTGACGTCATTAAAAATAAAAATAAAAATAAAAAGAGTCCCCTCTAGATTAAGGAAACTCTCATGTGGGTCTTATTGGCCGCCAACACTTCTCTTTGACCTTCTAATTAATGCAACTGTTTCATTTATTTATTTATTTAATATAATTTTTTAAATTGAGCTTTTTTTGCGGGTATTATTAATAGAAAAGATCTAATTCATCGTACTGAGTTGTAATATTTTTTTAAAAAAATAAATAAATTATTAACACGTAATTTTCAAAAAATTAATGAATTTAATTATCATGATATTTATTAAATTAAATTAAATTAATTTTACAAAGCTCTTAAACCTTCTCTCCATCTCTATATATACTTTTCAAATGCATTACTTGGCTCCTCACATCAACAACCAAAAAAAATCTCCTCTCTGTTTTTTTTCTCCTCAATTTTCCCATAAAGAAAATATTTCAATAGTTATTTTCTCACACTTGAATTCACCAAAAACAATAAGATGCCTGAGGGAGAGAATTCTTCTGTGGGAGTTCGTGAACCCAGATTAGTCGTGAGAAAATTCTTGGCTAGACAGCAGCATGAAGGAGTTGGAGCCATTGTCAGAAGAAGCATAGGAAGGTGAATTGAAATTAAATTAAAATTTCTCTTTTTCTCTCCTGTTTTTTTTTTTTTGTTTTTTGCTTAAATTCACTTATTTCGAAATGGGTTTTTGAATTTTTTTTGGCATCTTTCAGGTTTGAGCTGAGATACTTTGATCCTTTTCTGGTTCTGGATGAATTTTCAGGTGGGTGATGGCCTCTGTTTTACTATGTTTCTATTTTCTGTTTGAATTTTTCTTGCTCTGTTTCTTTGAAGAAATGTAATGGTTGGATTACTCTGTTTTTCTTGTTCTGTTTCTTGAAGAATGTAATGGGTTGATCGCCGCAATGATTTTCAATATTTCACTTACTTTTTTGAATAATGCAATGGGCTGATCAGAAAATAAGATTCGATTCGTTTTCTCTGCTTTTTCTTTTGTAAAAGATGTAATGGTTGGATTACTCTGTTTCTCTTGCTCTGTTTCTTGAAGAATGTAATGGGTTGATCACAGAAACGATTTTCAAACTTTTATCTCCTTATTATTCGAATAATTTAATGGGTTGATCAGAAAATAACTTTCCATTCGTTTTCTCTGTTTTTTTTTTTTTTTGAAAAAATGTAATGGTTTGATTTCTCAAATAATATTCAAATTTTCTTTACTCTGTTTTTTTTTTTCCTTTGTGCAGTAACTGCTCCTGCTGGATTTCCTGATCATCCACACAGAGGTTTGATTCTCGGAAACTTATTTTTCACTTTCTTTTTTCTTTTTCCTAATTGGTTTATATATATATATATACACACACACATACATATACCTATACATATATTTGAGATTGTGCTAATTTCTGATTCTTCTTTTCAATTCTTAACAGGGTTTGAAACAGTCACCTACATGTTACAGGTGCTTTTCTTTAACATAATTTTTCTACTTTGCTTAATTAATCAGAAATAAGTAAAAAAGAAAAAAAAAGAAAAGAAAAAGAAAACCGCGTGAAGTAAGAAACAACATAGTTGTGGATTTGACTAAGAAATTAATTAATTAATTAATTACTAATTAATCACTTAATTTTTTAAATTGGAATTTATAAGTTGGAAACTAAATTGTTCCATTTAGATTATCATTTGACTGAAAATAAACTAAACCAACTTAAGATAATCATGGATAAACTATATGGCCGGCAAGGTATTACCAAAAAGTCAGCTTGGCATGCCCATTTCCAGATAGTTGCTGCCAAATAAGTAATTAAATCTTTAAAAAATAAGTTGACATCATATAATATATATATATATATATATATATATATAATATAATATAATATAATCTTTGTGTGGAAGTGAATAGTTGGTCATATTTCATGCATATACAAGTGTGTCTGTATATAAATTTATTTTGTATTTCAAATATTAATATATAGAATTTTTAATTAGTTGAGTAAAAATTTGGGTGTTTGAACAGGGAGCTGTTACACATGAAGATTTTGAAGGGCATAAAGGAACCATAGGAGCTGGAGATCTGCAATGGATGACTGCAGGAAGAGGAATTGTTCATTCAGAAATGCCTGCAAGTCAGGGAACCCAAAAGGGTTTGCAATTGTGGATCAATCTCCCCTCAAAGTACAAAATGTAAGCACCCATATGTATATATGTTTATATATATAGACCTTTTACGTACTAAGTCCAAGATTTTAGTAAAATCAATTGGGTGCAAAAATACTGTATATTGAGTGTCTTGGATTAGCATAATATTTTTGGATAGGGTAATAAGCTATTTATAATTAGATATTGAAAGCCAAAAAATTAAAATTAAAGGAAGGAAGGAAGGAAGATATAAGCACCTGCTTTTCAGCTTTTTCCCTTCTTCATAGAATATGTAGAGTTATATATGATACATTTGTGAAAAGTGCTTTTTGTATTAGAGCACACATTGTGTTGTTTATGCATCCTTGCCGGATAAGAGGTGAGACCCCCTTTTTCTGTAATGCTTTTTGTTTGAGTCCCAATTCTGAATAAGGAATCTTAGTCAGTGGTGATCAATGATCATGATGTGTGCCTCAAATGCTTTGTGCCCACTACCTATCTTCTCATTTAGTTTGTCTTTGTGTATATATACACTTCTAGAATCATATTTCAAAGTAGCAAAAGAAATATAATAATTATTATAATGTTTTTTTTTGACACTGTACTATTCAAATTAAGTATATTTATAACTTATTTAATTGTAATGTTATATATCGTTTAAATTTTTTAATTGCAGGATTGAACCAAGATATCAAGAAATGTTAAGTAAAGATATTGTAAAAGTTACAAGAGACGGAATTAGTGTTAGGGTAATAGCAGGAGAAGCCCTAGGGGCTAAGTCACTAATCTATACTAGAACACCAACCATGTATTTGGATTTCACTCTCGACCCAGGAGCTAAGCTCCGACAACCAATACCAAGATCATGGAATGCCTTTGTTTATGTCTTAGAAGGCGATGGTGTGTTTGGCAACTCAAAATCTTCGTCTGTTTCAGCTCATCACCTTTTATTATTAGGATCTGGGAATATGTTGAAGGTATGGAACAAATCAACATCTAAACCCGTGAGATTTATTTTGGTTGGGGGTGAGCCATTGGGTGAGCCAATAGTGCAATTTGGTCCATTTGTGATGAACACACAGGAAGAAATTGATCAGACTATTGAAGATTTTGAGAATTTTACTAATGGATTTGAGAAAGCAAGACAATGGAGATCTCAAGCTGCACTCCGCTTAGATTTTTAGTTATTTTTTAAGTGATATTAGAATTTAATTTTTTTTAAAAAAATAAAGAATAAAATATTTTGATTATTATGTAAATTAATTACTATTTATAGTAATTAATTAAGTTAGATATATGGATATTCCAGTGTTACATTCATTTATATTAGTTTGAATAGGAAAATGTTGCACATCTATCATGCAAGCTTTGTAATTTTAGTGAGAAAGTAACAAGACCTGTATGATCCATAAATTGAGATTAGTTTATCTCTAATTTAATTAAAAAATAAATTATGTCACTATTAAGAAATATGAAACTTTTATTAATTTTGTTATTTTTTAGAGTAAATTTCTGATCTTATGTATATTAATCATTTAATTAAACAATAATTAATATCACATATATATATAATTTATAATTTAATAAAAATTAGTGTCATAATAATTATAATAGAGATAATAAGTACAACATAATTTTTTTTTTTTTTTAACAAAATCCATAATAAATCTTCTTCAACTGACATAACTATATAAGTTATTACTATGTTTAATTTAAATTATAATTATTACTTAGAACTTTTTTTAACTATTTAAAAGGCTAACTAATCATGTTTTAAAAGTGCAGTTATATATATATATATTCAATTAATTAAGATAAGAATTTAGGCTTTGAGGATGAGCTTAGTCATCCTGTCTCATGCGCATAATCATCTTACTTAAATTAAACATATTTTATTTTTATTTAATTCATACATTTTAGTAATTTGATTTTAATTATTTAATTATTCATATGCATAATTAAACTAATTTTATTTATAGATTTAATTTTATAATAAAAATACATACATTCACACAATTCATAATATAATATAAATATTTTTTTTTTGTAAAAAAAAAAAGAAAATATCAATTATTTAATTTTATAATTAAATATTTTATATCTGCACATATAAGAATGTTTAAAATATAAATCTATTTAAATTAAAATATTATTTTTATTTGAGTTATCTTTTATATTCTTATCATTAAACGTAACGTAAGGGGTTTGAAAATTTAATTAGGTGTGCTAATTAAGATAAGGAAGATGATAATCATCCTGGACTTGCTGCCGAAAAAGCGATTATCTGAAAATGATAGATGAAGTTAAAATTAAATAAAATTAATTAACTACTAACAACAGACAAACGGAGGTGATTTGGTTTTTGCTCTACTAGAAATTTACTAATGAAATTCAAAGATTATAGCAAAACCCCGGCTGAAACTTTTCCTGGAAAATACAGCATATTTTTTCTCGCTGCAAAATTCCCGGAGCCAAACAACAAAAAACGCTCTTCCATCAGACTCCCATGTTGTTCCAACCTCATTGGTGCCTTCCAGATAATTTTTTCTATTGCTAGTCTTCTCTTCTACTTCACTTTGTCCCCCCGGAAAGCGACTGCATTAGTTGCAGGGAGGGATTTTTACAGAGAGAGAGAGAGAGAGAGAGATTTACATTCTGGAGAGAGAAAACCAGAAGACCCACAAAGGGAAAAAGGAAAACAATGAACAGAAAGAACTCGACGCTTCTCAAGATCTTGCTCTCTCTCTTCCTTCTCAATTCTCTCTCTCTGTACTTTTACTTCACTTCCCACTCTCACGCATCGTCAACGCCAGACCCTCATCCGTACTTGACGGAAAACCACTCGTTCCAAACGCAAAACCACCAAAACCCCAACTTCTCCAAGCCATGGCCGATTCTCCCTTCCTACCTCCCCTGGTCCCAGACCTCGAATGCCGTCGCTGCTCGCTCCTGCGAAGCCTTCTTCGGAAACGGCTTCACCCGCCGCGTCGACATCCTCCCGCCGGCTAATCACGGAGGTGGCAGCTGGTTCCGCTGCTTCCACAGTGAGACATTGCAGAGCTCAATATGTGAGGCCGGAATGCTGAGAATGATCCCTGGGAGGATCAAGATGTCACCGGGAGGGGAGATGCTCGAGGCGGTCATGGGCAGAAGGGAAGAAGAGGAGCTGCCGGAGTTTGAGACTGGCGCGTTCGAGGTCGTCGGAGAGAGGTTAGGCTTAGGGTTTAAGCGAATACGCGATGTGAATCGCCGATTGGTGAACGACGACTTTTTGAATCAGTACGTTCCCCAAGGGGGGATCGACAAGCACGCAATGAAGGAGCTGATTGCTTCAATTCGCGTTGTAGATAGTAAAAATTTTGTTTGTGAAGAGGTATTGTTTTCTCAACTAATTTCCTTGATCTGGATGGTTAAACAGCATTAATGGCTTAATTACTTAATGATTATCATTTATTTCTTGATCTAGTAGATTTCTTTAATGATGTAATGCAGAATCGGAAATCTTTGATTTGGTAGATTGGTGTTTAATTAATTTTCTTTCATGATTAGTTGGAAATTATCTAACCCCATTTTGCGGAAAACATAGGCAGATTGACTTTGATGATTTATTTTCTTTACTGGGGTTTGATGGGGAATGGTTTAATGGAGCTCTAAATGCAAAGGGGAAACTTGGATCTCTATTAATATATTTGAGAAGTTAATAATAAGCTTTAAACATTTGGGTTTAGAATCTTGAGAGAGTATCTGCTTGTTTAAATGGAAAGTGGATTTAATAAGCCAGATTAGTTTCCTTTCTTTCCCAGTTTCAATTTTTGAATGCATTACTTTCTGTTTATGGTTTCTGATACTGGATATCAAGATTTTTCAACTTGCAGTGGGTGGACGAGCCGACACTTCTTGTTAGTAGATATGAGTATGCAAACCTTTTCCACACCATAACTGATTGGTACAGTGCTTATGTATCTTCTCGAGTTACTGGTTTGCCTAATCGGCCTCGAGTTGTTTTTGTTGATGGCCACTGCAAGGTATGAGCCATTCATTTTTACCTGATTATATAGTTTGCTGTATTGGCTTGTGGCTTCTCAGTTGTTACTTTGGGTGAAGGGATGTCTAGATCAGAATTGGCTTTTGGGATCTAAAAGATTGGTATTACATTATCGGGTATTTGTTATTTATGTCATTGATTACTAGATTGAACACCAGGAAGTAAAAGCAATGAACACTTGGCTATGCCTTAAGAAGGGATATTGGGAGAGAACATCTTTTTTGTCTGGAATAGGAGAATGACAAAGGTTTTCTCTAGTAGATTATGGATAAATGTAGATGATTATCCATCTCCTCTTCTCTTCAGCTAGGTAACAATCCGTTGGGAATTGGGATGTTCTAGTACTCTCATCTTTTGTTTTATTTTTCATGGTATTAGTATATGTATATCTCACATCAACCCATAATGAAGATACATATGATTCATGTATCTATTAGGCAACTCTATCTATGATTTTGAGTTAGAATCTGATATGGTATCAAAAATAGTTTTTGGTTTTGCCTAGTAGTTTGGATTTGTCCACTCAAGTACATGTTCCATGTCGGTAGGAATATCGTTTAGAATCTAGTACCTGGTTATTAATTTTGTCCAACTCCTGTTATTGCCTTGGGATAAATTAGAATGCTCGTGGTTAGTTTGTTTCTTTATCATGGCTGTAAGCTGATAGGCCGTCTTTTGGTAAAAATCTTCAGGCACAGCTGGAAGAAACATGGAAGACATTTTTCTCAGGTTTTAGATATGCTAAAAATTTCAGCGGTCCAGTTTGTTTTCGACATGCTGTTCTCACACCTTTGGGATACGAAACTGCCCTCTTTAAGGGTCTGTCTGATGAGATAAATTGTCGAGGTGCATCTGCCCATGATCTGTGGCAAAATCCAGATGAAGGGAAAACTGCACGACTGTCAGAATTTGGAGAAATGATGAGAGCAGCTTTTGGTTTGCCACTAAATAGACATCGCCTTGAAAAGCCAGTCTCCGATCATAATATCCTCTTTGTTCGACGTGAGGACTATTTAGCGCATCCACGACATAATGGTATAGTTGAGTCAAGGCTTAGTAACGAGCAGGAAGTATTTGACTCCTTACTGACCTGGGCATCTAGTCATTCAGAATGTAAAGTAAACCTCATTAATGGATTGTTTGCACATATGTCAATGAAGGAGCAAGTTCGATCCATTCAAGATGCTTCAGTTATTATTGGCGCCCATGGTGCAGGGCTTACTCATATAATTTCCGCTACCCCAAAGACAGTAATACTAGAAATTATCAGCAGTCAATTCAGACGTCCTCATTTTGCTTTGATTTCCCAATGGAAAGGATTGGAGTATCACGCCATCAATCTCTATGGATCATATGCTGATCCGCAAGTGGTTATCAATAAACTCAACAGCATAATGAAGAGTCTTGGTTGCTGACATTTTCTTGTCATTAATGGAACTTGATTAAATTATTATGAATTCGTCCAGGGAACAAAAGATTGATAAGAATCTTCTCCGCTTTCCATTTCTGCCTCAGGAGTTCTTCAATCAGATTAGATTAGCTTGTAAAGTTGCAGCTCCTTTCCCAAGAGTTCATCGATGGGAGGTTTTCCTCGGAGAGCTTGGTATGTTTTTCTTGACACTCCATTACTGACATTAGCTAGTAGGGTATAGTCCTGATTTATCCTGGAAACTGAACATTGACCACCCACCTACCCACCCACTTAGCTAACCTGTAACATAGGTTACTAGAAGGATTCATTTACACATCATTACTGTTGTTTTGTGTTTTCCATACGATAAAATGTTATAGTTCAAAATATTCCCCAGGACTAGTTGGTTGTAATTAATTCATGGATGTTGCAGAAGATAATGGTAATTTAGAACAGTAGAAACAGAATAAACTGTGGATCATGATCTATAATGAATGATCTTTTCAGATACAAGGGAAAAAAACTAAGAAAAGTCAGTTGCAGGTCAAGTAATATTATAAATGTCAAAGATATAAAAGTAAGTCTGCATTTTTTTGGGGTCAGCTCGAGCTTAATAGTTACAATGGGTTAGGCAATATGTATTGTTCTCTTAGTGTGAGAGTTGAATTTCCCAATTTTATAAATATTATTTATATTGTTACATAGTTTTATTTTAAATAATATTCTATATTTAAAAATTTAAATAAATAACTGTTATATATTTAGTTTGAAAAGTTAATGTCAATATGCTCATATCCAATGTACCAAATACAAAATAGAATTTAATTTTGAATTAACTACAAATCATACATTCAATAATAGTTTTTAAATATAAAAGTTTTCAATAATATATTTATTTAATTTTTAAAAAAATAATATGTTGTTATTAATTATAAATATATAAATACTATATAAAGATAAAATATTAAATATTATCACACAAATTTTAAAATATAAAAAAAATAATATGATAGCATACATAACAATTATATATTTAAATATTTAAGACATAAAAATAAAATTTTAATTTTTAATTAAATATAAAGTGTATATATAAATATAAAAAAATATTGTTTGAATGACTCATAAAGTACAAAAGAAAAACAAGTATATTTTCCAACTATACTTTTAATGAACCAAAAATTGACAAAAATCTGGAGATGCGGGGTATCGATCCCGGTACCTCTAGCATGCTAAGCGAGCTCTCTGCCATCTGAGCGACGTCCCCCGACGCTGGTAACATCGTCATTCACATAATCACAACAGTGATCGTAAAACTAAATAATCCGAGAGGCAAATTTCTCATGTTTCCAGTCCAGACTCACAGCATCCGTGTTTCCAGTCCAGTCCAGACTCATGTTTCCCGTCCAGGTTCACAACATCTGTGTTTAAAGCTCGTATGCCCGTTCTGTTTACATGTTTTCCTACTTATTTCTGCACTGGACTACAAATGTTTAGAGGAAAGATCCTTCATTGAATTATAGTCTTAAGCTTTTTTGGTGTTCTGGATTAAGTTCCAGTTTAAGCCTACTCAAAAACTACCATAACGGCAACTGTTGGGGTTTTTGATTTGAACGCCCGCTAGCTGTTTGATGAATTGCCTGATAGAACTGTGAGCTGACAACCATATGGTTCTGTGCTTTCCTTCGACACTCAAGATGCTGGCCATGACTGTGGGATGCTTTGTTGCGGGAGCTTCTCTTTTTGCTGCAACCCTCCATTTATCTCATGTCTACATCGCTCCCCAACAGGCTCGAATCAAAGCCCGCAATGACTTTGTCAGAGAACGGCTGAGGAAGAAACATGGTCTGTAAGTTCTTTCTGCCTTCTCGATCTTCTCCTTGTTGAGCCCATTTTCTTCTCTCGTCTCAAATTAATGAGAACTCAGTTTGTTAATTTATAAAATCTAGAGGGCAATTATACAATCTCTAAACAGCTCATTGAAGAATTAAAATTTCCCTTGTCTTCTTATGTTGTTTTTGTCCCGATTGTCATCTGTATTCATGAAAATTGACATGTCATGTTGCTTGTGCATTCTTTACGGCCTCTTAATCACTGAAATATTCAAAAATAAGTTTCAGTAAAAAA